TTTATAAATTTATTTTATAAAAATGTTTATGAAATTCTTTTTATTATGTATATTAGTATGTTTTAGTACTTTTATAAAAATGTCTGTATAAATATATTAATAATTTTGTAATTACAAATTTTATAGTTATTATGAAATTAAGTTTATAAATTACAATTTATACATACATTTCAAATTATATATAATATATAAAAGAAAATAAGTTTAATTAAATAATGTTTAGATAAATTAAATACAGCAGATCATTATAAAATTTTCTTTAATAACTTTATATACCTATATATTTTTAACTTATACACAATATATTTAGTAAAAATATATTATTTCTATGATATATATTATATAATATATACAATATGGTTTTTCAACTATCAATAATAACATATAATAATCATTGAAAAAATATTCTTAACTAATTATTAATAATGATAAACAGTAGAATCCATTACCAGTAACACTTTTTATTATTAAAATCAAACATTTTTAGCTGTTCTGATATCATGTTGATGGCTGCAAGAACAATGGAAAACATTTGATTTTTTTATAATAGAGTGTTACTGGTAAAGTTTTTTATTGTTTATAGTAATCATTGTCATTTTTTTCTTAAAGCAAATTAATTTTGACATTGTCATCTCTTACTTATTGAATATTCAAATTATTTTGAATTATTCCATCGCCACGACTGATTAAATAACTTTACTTGTTCTATTTCATGAGGTGTAAAATGCAAAACAGTTGCAATTGCATTAAGCATGTGATGTCTGCTAATACCATCCTTGCATGTTATATATCTCAATACAACATTTTTGAGATATTCCATATTCATTCCTTCACTAGTCTGATTACTTTCGAGACGTTGAATTTTTGAATTTAACGATACTATTTCATCCATATACTTTTCTTCTTTAGTCAGTGTCACTTGTTGCAATTCTCGAAGGGCAGATTCTGCTTGATGTTTTGCACTTCGTAAGTTTGTGATTTCAACATCTTTTCTTGCTAACTCATGAGCATAATGTAATAAATGTCCTTCACTCTTACCACTATGAACACTGTGAATGTCACGGCACGCCACTGATATGTAATAATCATTGTAATATACAATGATGATAACACACTAGATCATCATCATAAAGATTTTCTTTGTTAATTGATAAATTTCTTGAAATTGCTATTGATGGAAACGGTGATCAACTAGCTGTACAAGGCCGTAAAAACAGGTCTGGCCAAGGCCAACCACTTTTTGCTGCCAATGTTACAAATACAATTCTAACTTCAAATCGTCTCTACTGTGCAACACTGTCAGACCAAACCAATAAATTTTTCCATAGACGGAAAGGGTTATCCCTAAGGTATTGCTTTCCTTCTCCCCAACAACATCATCTCTATCCAGGGAGATTTAGCAATTAGAAAAATTGAAATAACTAGATAAGTATTGAAAGTGAAATCTGTATAAATAAACAATGAGACTATTGCAATAAACATGGCAACTGCTCTCCATTTTGACTGGACCATTTTTTCCCTTTCCTATGGCCTGGCTTATTAATCTGTGAAGTGACTTCATAGTATGCAAGTTAAATGATTTCATTTTTGAATTCTAATTGCATTTACACTGTACAATACAATTTTCAATAAAAACCATTCCTATTTTTTTGCATTAAATAGATAACAATTAAAATTAGAAACTGTCATCCTAATCATTACATTCAACCAACTTTTAAGATCATATTTTAATTTTACAGTTTAAGTTAGTAAGAGAGAAATTTTTAAAAAAAAATTTCCTAAAATAAAACTTCAAACAAATATTCAAATAATTATATAAAAGGACTTATCCCGAGTTTTTTCTTATGCATTAAGTTTTTTGATTTTCTTTGAAAGTATTTTAAAAATAATACCAGTAACAAAAACTAAACTGAACTATTTTAGAACAATAAAAATACTTTAATCTTTTCTTGCATTTATGTTTTAGATAAATATTTATGTTGAAAATTGTGTTAACTATCATTATATAAAACTTTTGAATAATTTTGAAGAATTGTTTTTTATATTGTATTCTGAGAAACAGAATAAAATATAAAAAACATATACTGTATCATCAAAATTATTGTAATTGCCATTCACTGATGATATGTAACAGTGGCGTGCCGTCATTAGAAGCGGTGGAAGCGCCGCTTCCCTTGTATTTTATTAAAAATAAATACATATAAATTTTAATTATATGAAAATAATCGCACAATTATAATCGCACTATGTATCTTATTACAAATTTCTATACTATACGTGAAAAAAAAGATTGCTATTGTATATTCGAATATTAATGGCGGAGTGGNTATTTAGTAAAAATATATTATTTCTATGATATATATTATATAATATATACAATATGGTTTTTCAACTATCAATAATAACATATAATAATCATTGAAAAAATATTCTTAACTAATTATTAATAATGATAAACAGTAGAATCCATTACCAGTAACACTTTTTATTATTAAAATCAAACATTTTTAGCTGTTCTGATATCATGTTGATGGCTGCAAGAACAATGGAAAACATTTGATTTTTTTATAATAGAGTGTTACTGGTAAAGTTTTTTATTGTTTATAGTAATCATTGTCGTTTTTTTCTTAAAGCAAATTAATTTTGACATTGTCATCTCTTACTTATTGAATATTCAAATTATTTTGAATTATTCCATCGCCACGACTGATTAAATAACTTTACTTGTTCTATTTCATGAGGTGTAAAATGCAAAACAGTTGCAATTGCATTAAGCATGTGATGTCTGCTAATACCATCCTTGCATGTTATATATCTCAATACAACATTTTTGAGATATTCCATATTCATTCCTTCACTAGTCTGATTACTTTCGAGACGTTGAATTTTTGAATTTAACGATACTATTTCATCCATATACTTTTCTTCTTTAGTCAGTGTCACTTGTTGCAATTCTCGAAGGGCAGATTCTGCTTGATGTTTTGCACTTCGTAAGTTTGTGATTTCAACATCTTTTCTTGCTAACTCATGAGCATAATGTAATAAATGTCCTTCACTCTTACCACTATGAACACTGTGAGATAACATGCTTGTAAGAGAATCAAGTTCTGATGCAAATTCATCTTCTTTATTTGATTCTTGGTTATTCTGAGATATTTTTGTTCTAATCATTTTCTATAAAAAATATTAATTATAATTTTAAAATACTTTAAAAGATAATGATTATTAAATGCAAGATAAAACAACTTACATTTTCTATTGATATTAATGGATTTTGTAATTTCAATAACTTAATTTCATTATCTTTTTCTTCCAGTAATAATAATGTTCTTTCTCTTTGTTTCTTTAAATGATTTTCTACGTCATTTAACCGTGATTTATATTCTGTATTCATCTCCATCATATTCTGTTTATGCAATTCTCTCATTTCTTGAATTGTAACTTGGAAAGATTCTTCCTTATTTTTACATTGTTTCTCCATATTTTCCAATTGAAATCTCAGCATCTGCACTTTTTCTTGAAGGTCTAAATTTTGATTGTTTAATAACTGAACTTCTTTTGCATATTCATTATCCTAAAGTAAACATTAACAAAAATTCACTAATAATAAATTTGAATCATAATCCAATATTTCCTAGAAACAAAATATATAATATTCTCCTTGATGGTATAATTGTAATGGAATAAGAGAAAAGATGCAGAGTTATGAAACTTACAGGAAAAATAGAAATTCATAAGATATGCAAATGATAAAAGCTCAGCAGTGAATGGTGGTGCAGATGGCAACCTGAAAAGGACTACAATCAACCACATTGGACTATATGCTATTGTCTTGAATGATGTGAAAAATAGAAGATATTTGCCAGGTGCTTACAATATGATGATATAAAGTATATCATTATTTGACCTTCACTGAGTTGAACAACATTATCAAATTGCAAGAAGTACAGATGTCAATGCATGCCACTGCAAATTGCTTGACTTTGTAATATCAGCACTGTGCAATGCTGTGTCTTGCAGTGGATTCAAAAACATCCAGGACAACTTGGTGCCTCATATTGGTGTGTGTCACAGATCTCAGAGTGGATGAACTGATACATCAGGAGCATGGCAATATGTGATCCCTTTTCAAAAGAGAGAATTCACTTATAGCACATAGATGATGCAACTATGTCCATACAAACAAAATTAGAAAAAAGTTGCACGAGCCTGATCTCTAAACCAGATGAACTGCTAAAAGTGTTTCATTAACACAGAAACACTGCCTAGTATTGGACATTGGAGTAAAGAAATGTTCACAAATGAATCTAGTTCTGCTTTTGTCAGAATCAATGCTTTGACCTATACATTGATTCTGCTTAGGTCAGAGAATAATTTGGGAAGTGACACCACTGATGCTATACAGAGGTCTTTATTAGGAAGAATTATAGCAATCCAATAACAAGCAATATGCTATGGTAACATTTTTCAAACTAGGATTTGCAGATCAGTTTCAGAAGGTATCTAGTAATATGTTTTTATTTTCCTAAAAATATATTAGTAGAATCAAAGTTTTAAGTATATTATTGGGCTGCAATTTGAAAAAATTGTAACCTATAAATTTTCACTATCATCTGTCTGTCTTTCCTTAATCTAATCTTGAGAACGGCATTAGATAGATTTCATCTATCTAATGCCGTTCTCAAGATTAGATATGGAAACCTTAGGGCAGGAGGCCCTGATTAACTACATAGGAACTTCTGATGCAAACCAGAAGTAACATTATTTCAATTCAAAACTTTTCCCCTGAAAACAGTTAATAGAAGACCAGCATGACTTCATTGCTAACAGAAAAATATGATGTACAGGGACAAAACACTACAGTACTAATCTGAGGTGGAAAGCATATATTTTAAATTAAATAAATTAAAAATTGCAGCCTAGCATTGAGATGATGTCACAGCAGTGGTGTGCCATCATTGGAAGTGGTGGATGCACTGCTTCCCTTGTATTTTCTAAAAAAAAAAATAAATACAGTGGAACCTCGGTATACGACCTTAATCTGTTGCTGGTGTTTGGACTTATACCAAATTGGACGTATACCAAACCAACCTTTCCCATAAGAAGTAATGTAAAAATGATTAATCCGTTCTCATGTTAAAAAAAAAAAAATGGCTGGCTTTAAACACCTCGCTTTCCTGTCTAGTTCCTGCTTGATTTTTCATGAGATCAGCATGTATCATTTTAGCTTTCTTGCAAATAATTGCTTCTGATATGCTGTTGCCAGCACACTGTTTTTCAGTTATCCAAAGCAAAAGCAATTTCTCAACAGAATGTCTTCGATCTCTGTTTAGAAATTGATTTAACCCCTTTCGCAACGTTAGCAGATTTAATAATGTCTTTATTTTTCACGACTGTCGATATCGTCATTCTCGGAATACGGTATGCAAGAGTTAAATCTCGAACACACATGCCACCTTCACATTTCTCAACAATCTCTTTTTTCAGTTCCATTGTGATTTTAGTCATTTTTTTATTTTTCTGTTGCCTTTTTGCAATTCATGATTAATAAAAATAATAACATTTTATTTACAAATTAAAATAAAAAGAAATTTAACAAAGTTATAAACTGTGGCACCACGAACGTCTAGTCTGGTCTAATACACTGATAGTGCTACTTGTTTGTAGATGGCGCATATAATTGAATTAAGTCGTATACCGAATAAAAGTCGTATACCGAACAAAATTTGTTTCGTCCAAACAGGACGTATTCCAAATTGGACGTATTCTAAAGCAGACGTATACCGAGGTACCACTGTACATATTAATTTTAATTATATGAAAATAATCGTACAATATTTTATTATAACCGCATCATATATCTTATTAATTTCTATACTACATGTGAAAAAAAGATAAGATTGCTATTGTATATTCGAATATTAGTGGCAGAGTGGAAGTGCTGTATTGTCAGCATCCAAAAAGCTAGATTTGCATGTGCGCATTACAGAGCACCAACCTCACCCAGTTTAGCTGGTGGAAGCCAGGGACCTTGGGTGGATGCTACACGTATACTGCATCCAATTCTATCCAGGACCAGTTCTGGGCTGTTAGCCGCCTGCCTGCTAGATATTTGGCCGTCCTCGCCCAATTACGTGAATCACGAGTAGATTTATAACTTAACCCATCCGATAAGAATTTACTGGTATTTTTTTTTGATAGTTCTGTATAGTTGACAGGAGTTTAAAAAAATCCATTAAAATATTTGATATTTTTATTCCACTCTCCGATTTTATATTACTCACAGATTTCAATGTTAAACCAGTGATATTACGATTTCGTATGTCCCATCTCTAAGGGGATGTAGAAAAAAACGTGTACAATTCTTGTATAATGTTAAAAAATTAACTGTTACTTTGACAGCATCATTTACAACTAAATTTAATGAATGAGAGAGATGCACGAGGTACAGAAAAAGCTCTAGAATTTATTTTCCTTAAATTTACGATTTATGTATCCGTTTGTCATAAAAATTTGTCTTTCCACTTTTTTCCCGAGACTACAAATATTCGAGTACAAAGTAACCGGTTTCGACTTATTTCTACTTAAGAAGTAGTTAAATAATTAAGCGATTAGGGAATTGGGGACATAAACAAAACCCTGATGAAAGAGCCGAAATTTTACTTAAACAAAAGCTTAACAAAAGCAGTGTTTCTCAACGGGTGCAATATTGCCCCCATGTGGGCGTTTTTCCATGCTGAGGGGCGATTAGTAATAATTTATATTTTGGGGGCAAAAAACAATTTTCTGGGCAATATAGTAAAACATTATATTAAGAATAATTAGATATTTTATTCGTTATATCATACAATAATTAAACAAATAACATTATACTAGCCACTAGTCTATTCAATGCAGTACAAATTTGGCATTAGTCTTGGTCCTCGGCATCGGAATTTTGAAGTGAAGGGGGCAACAATAGGTAACAGTTTTATTGAAGGGGGCGATACTACGTTGAAGGGGGCGACGATTTGTTAGAGGTTGAGAAACACTGGCTTAACCGAACCATCTCTAGCCAAGTACAGTGGAGACTGATTTCTTTGTATTATTAATGTAATAAAGGCTGAAAAGTTGTAAATTTTGGAAATTTCTGAAGACACTTGGTCCTAAAACGAATTAGTTAGAAAACAAATGACTATTAAGTTTAACATATTTAGATTTTTACAGCTATGGTGAGAAACGTTTAAAATCTACAACAGCCCTGTCG